ATAATCGGGTATTTCAGAATAGAATCAGGGATTCTCAGCACTCAATGGCCCTGAATTTAAGGTCACCATGACAGTAATGTGGAGCTATATAAGGGAGGAGGTGAAGCCTTATTTATATTTGCCAGACCTAAACTCTGAAGCCACTTTTTTTTTGAGTTTATAACTGATCAGTTGATCTGGCTCTAAAAAAAACTCTCTCTCCCTTAACGAAATTTTCACATGACTAGTTTTATTTGGTGTAGACTTAATGTCTACCAGAGAGAGCTTATTAAAGATTTAGAATAATGTAATGAAATACTACATTAATAAAGGATCTGGCCAATATTTTCTGAAAAGTTACTATCATTGCTGTTTTAAAAATAGTATGTTTTAATTTTGCTTTATATTTAAATCTGCAAAATAGCTCAATGATAAGTGCTTCTTAAAATTTACCCAGAGATGCTGTCTGAGGCAGAATATTTTAAGTATCTATAGATGTATAGTAGCCTTGAAGAAGGAAGTTTGAATAACTGTATTCCAGCAGCTGAACACTTACATGAATTCTCAATATATAATTTATGTGATCTTGCTTATCAGTAAACATTTGAGGAAAATGTTTAATTCTAATAAATTGCAAACCCAAATTGAGATTTCATCATGATTTGTTGTTGAAAATTATTAGCTTTAATCTTATTATTAATGTAACATGATTTTTTCACCTTAAAAAGATTACAAAATATGCAAGAGTTGCTTCCTTTATAAGAGTATGAGCTTTCAGTATGACAGTAGGAATTACCAAAAATTTCCTGTCCTAGATTTTTGTCCTTGAGAACCATTATAAAAGTAACTAACTTTTTTTTTTTCCCAGAAAGTACAATAACATCTTGATCAACATGTTAATGCTTAGGAAGGGATATCATTGAATACATTCATCTTGTACATTATCAATCAGATCTAGATAGTCAGCTATTTATTGAAAAGGTTAAGTCTAGTCTATATCTAACATTGATAATTGATGTGTGGTTCATTCATTTTACAGCCATTGAGTGTTTTGTTTCAGGAGTTAGAAACACAAAATTAGTAAGTCATGATCATTATCCTCAAATAATTTAGAGAAGATTCCAGGAGGCAGTAATAAGTTTATAAATAGTAGTGATAATCAAACCAAATCTTCCAGGAACACTATCGGAAGTTTAAAATGTGTTCTGTCTTCCTAATAAAATACTCAGTTTACAATTGGAATACATGAATAATGTGTATGATTTGGATTACTCCTAGAGAGGAGTTTATAAAATGTATATATCATGAGTTTTTATTTTAATTTAAGTTTAGTGTCCACTGGATATGTTCAAAGTAACTTAATTTTAAGAATTTTCACTATACAGTTCAAAATTTAAAGAAAATAAGACAATATGAAGATAGGGTGATGAAGTGTATCAATCTGAAAGAACAAATGTGAAGGTAGGTTTCCTTTTTCTGTTTTTCCCTTACTGAAAACTAAGTTCTTAAGTGAGAAATCCCTGGTCAAGATTGAAATAAAGAGCAGTTCTTTGAAACAGTTCTTACCTCCCTGAAGATGAACAGTCATACAGATACTGCTTTCTTCCAAAGAAATTGATTTACTAAAAATTTATGCATTCCCTATAATTCATAAGACCCCTTAAGAGGTCAGGCTGTTTCATACTCCATTATGTCTTAACAAAACTGGTTAATCTAGTGTCTGATAGTACATTTTTTTGTCAATGGTATTTTAGGACATTGATACATTTGATAGGAGTGACTGCTGAGGTGATTGAGAAAGAAAAGATAGATGTAATAGATCTTTCTCCAAAAAACTTAGAATTCCATGTCTGTTAAGAAAACATGGTTTAATCCAGTGACTTTCTAACCTTTTCAGCTCAGTCTCTGTTTCACCCATGAACATTTTTTTAAAGTTCTGAGACCTATAATTGCCTTCCAGAACTTTCAGTCAGCAAGAGAGAACTGAGGTTAACATGTTGAACTGGTCATAATTTCAGTCAAAAACAAACTTGACAGATGAGCTGATACTCAATGTTTCCAATGTGCTGTCCGTGTCTTAAGGTAATTAAACATTTATTAACCCTGTAAAGTAAGTATGAATGTGGAAACAGACACACAGACATTTTGATCTCCTAACTAGAAGTGGCCAATCTGGAATTGAACCCAGTTTGGTCTGATACCAGAGTTCACAGTTTAACCACCACTCTCTACTGCCTTCTGGGTTTTTACTTGCTCTGTTCAGTCTTATTCAGTAAATGTCATTAGGCTTATTTGAAATATTGAGTAACTGGGATACTACTCCCTGGTTGGTTAGACTACTAGTTTCTCCAGCGCAAAACTAGGTGGGGCCAAAGGCCAGTTTCACAGAAATAACAGCATGAGAATTACTTTGTGTGATAGTAAGATTAATGATGGCGTCTGAGTAGCTGAGAAGCTTCCCTTTTGTAAATAAATGTGCTATCAATGTAGCCTTCATTAATTGAACCTTAAACCTATTTACAGTTTTCAAACTTTTTTTTTAATACTTAACGGCTTTTGTTACAAGTTTACTAAATATCCTATAATTTGGGATTTTCTTTTTCCAATTTTAAAATATCTAGTTAGAGTGCTTCAGGATTTGTTTTAAATTGCTTTCAGTACATTGGAGCCAGAGTATGGTATTTTATCTGCAACCATTATGATTTTACATGGAATTCAATTTTATCGTCTTTCTTTCCAGATTGGAGTTCTTACTCTTTGAAGGTAAAAGCCACTTTATTTTTGTAAACACTTCCTAGTTGCCCTGTTTTGTACCTTCCCTGGCTTTCTTTTATGTCTTTGATGTGGTAACTGGATGGTCATGAAGTATGCTGGGTGCATATGTAACCATGGCTTTGTGTTGTAGTGTTACCTTTTTTTTTTTTTTTTTTTTTGCATCTTTCTGATTACTTGCAATTGTTCTCTTTCTGTTTGTGTGCATTTTAGCAGTCAGGCATTATTGTTTCCATTTCACTTCCTAATTCACATGATTTGCCTAGGCTAGATCATAGATTAAAGATAGAACAGAACCAGAACTTATTTCCTGATTTGTTTTTCCACTCACTTTTGATTCCTAGAGAAAGAAGCCTATATATAGTATGCGTAAACAAAGTTGAGTGGCATCCTGATTGCCTGTGAACTTCTGGGAAAATCAGTTCTGACCATGTGCATATATGTGGCTGTGAATAAACAGTTCAGCAGTAACAGAACTGGAACTTTACTTAATGACCTGGAAGGTATTATTCAAAGTTAGGCTGTCTCTAGTCATGCTTAGCACCAAGATCAAGTTCAGAATTCAAATAGATATCCAAAGTGCCTTCAGTTGTTTTGGGGTTCCATCCAGCTGTGTTCTGCCTAGGAGATTCATACTTACAGACCATTTTAATTGCCGTTCAGTCAGAGCCAGCGTGCTAATGACAGTAGTGATCTTCAGGCCATTTTAGTTGCCTCCTCCCACCCCCCAATCATCCTTGATCATCTTATTTTTGACACAATTGAGTAAACATTCAAAACTTTTCTGGCTTTGCTGGCTCTGTTTGATTCCACAATTTGTGTATTTTCGTGTACTCTGTAATTCCCTCTTCCTGTGTTTTTTGTCCCATTTTAGGGATTTCAACTACTGTTAGGAGTACTGGATTTTATATCCCTAACCCCACTATTTTCAGTCTCTAACCTCATATGTACCTCTAGATTACATGAAACTTGATAATGCTGAAAGTCATTTAACAAACATTTTGTGAGTACATGTGTTCCTGGTACTCTGCTGGCACTGAGGGAGGATACAAGGAGCAGCATCTGGCAAAAGGAACACCACCTTACAGACACAGCCATTAAACAACTATGTGTTTAGGGAGCACCTTTTGATTCTACAGGTTGCAATCTTAATAGTTCTTCAGTTGGATTTTCTGTTAAGCCATGCTGATTCTTCTACAATGTCTTTTCCTTTTTCTGGTTGTTAACCTACTATCCTATGGTTGTAGTTCTTAGTCTTGCAGGAAAATGACTTGGAACCAGTGTAGAAAAAAATACCAGACCAACCATAAGAACTGACAACTATTTTACTTCATCAGTTGATTGGAAATTTTGTATTAGAAGATTCTATGAATTTAGCAATGCTTTTTAAGTGAATTATTTTATTAACAACAGCATTTATAGATTTAGACTATAATCTTGGAGAGTCATCTTTATGCTAGACAAATATACTCTGGGTATAAGGCAGTCCTTTCCTATTGTGGAGCTAATGTTCTGTTAAGGGAGAAAGTTCACATTCAGTTGGCTTGATATACCTCCAAATCCAAGACTCACAGGTTAGGAAGCATTACTATGGGTCTTACAAGTCAATTTCTAGGTTATTAAAACTCTTTTCCTAATTTTCCTACCTAATCTCTCTTACTACTCTTCCTATACAATTGCCATAATAATTTCTGCACAAATACCTACATTACCATTACATCGTGGTGTCAAGTCTAAATTCTTGAAATTTGAGACCGTTCATATACCTCCCAGGCATCTTACCTTTTCTAATCTTTTATTCCTTTCCCAGTCTAACATTGATTCTACTTAAACCTTTACTTTTAGCCTTAGGGAGGTTATACTGCCTCTGTCCAACTTGCTTTAACCCATTACTTCCTAACAGTTACTTTGGAGATTACTCACATAAGAGACATGAATTGGAATGTGATATCATTCATGAAATAACAAGGACATATGGTTTGAATTACGAAAGTTGCAGCATACAAAATGATTTCTAGACTCCAACCAATGGTCCATTTCAAGGAGCATTTGCAATCACTTTGGCAATTTGACAACAAAATTGTACTGAAACTTATCTAGATGCAGTGGGTAACAAAATCTGTAAGTAGAAAAATGCAGAAGGGTTAGTTAGTCACATGAATATAAGAGTTTGCATCAGGTTTTGAGACTGTACCTAGTGACTCAAAAGGAAACTTAAAGGTCTCTGCCCTTGCCTGTTTATAGAGGAGTCTCTTGCTTCACAGTTCTCAGAATACTACTTCTTGAAAGTACACAAAACCAAACAGAAAACAGTCCTGGCCTAAAAATTGCACAGGTGGGTACACTGGTTTCACGTGCTGTTGTATTTTCTGAAAGCAGAGGTACCGTTATGTTATTGCAGTATATGTCCATATTGTGGTAGTCATCCATACTGTGAGTGAAACTGTTTAAATCTGTACTTTAATCATGGTGATAGACTCCCTTAGACAAAGTCTGTTAGACTGGTCTCCTATGCTCTGTGCTCTATCTGTCTTCCTGGGGAAACTACAGAAAGGAAGGCTTCTGGGTATTTTGAATTTCTGATTTGAGAACTAGTCCAACCTCCTTCACAGTAGTCAAAGAATAGCTCCCATTCATTGAGTTCCTCCTGTGTGCAGGACATAGGCAGCTAGGTGCTTTTTATCTTTAATATTCACAATAACCCCTGTGTAAGGCACTAGTATCCCTTTTTCCAATAGGAAAACTTAGGCCCAGAGAGGTTGAATGACATGGCCAGGGTTGTTCATCTAGTTTGTGCTAAAGCAAGTACTAGAACTAAAAGCTTACCTTCACTTTAATCTTTCTCTGGAAATGTTTAGCTTTTTAGAGCTAGAAACAAAGCATTTTCTTAGGTTAAGATTTGTTGTGGGGAGTTTTGAAATACAAGCTAAAAACAAGGTTTATTTTAGAATATAAGGTTTAAATTTGTAAAATTTAATTTGCTATTATATGCTTCTATTGCTCTGCCCTTAGCATTGTAGAATATTTTCTTTTCCGCGTTTTGTGATTGATATATGTTTGCTTTTATATATATATATATATATATATATATGTATATATATATATATATATATATATATATATATATATATATATATA